TAGAATTAGAACTACAAGAGACATCTATTCACTAGAATTAGAACTACAATAGACATCTATTCACTAGAATTAGAACTACAAGAGACATCTATACACTAGAATTAGAACTACAAGTGTATTAACAATTCAGTAAACTAATGTAATTAGTTTGGATTACTGCAGTTACAGTGTAGGATTGACATCAAGCTGAGCCTAGATTGATTATATTGTGTAAATTAATTGATTAATGAACAAGTAGTAATCAAGTATAAATTGAATCAATAAAACTCCGACAGTTCTGTACTTATTCCTCTATTCTTTTTATTTATTATTTTTTTTCTTTTTTTATAGCATTCTTCTTTATTCTCTTCTTGTTTTCATTCTTCTCCTTGTTCTTATTCTTTTTCCTTGTCTCCTTGTTCTCATTCTTTTTCATTCTTTCCTTGTTCTCATTCTTTGTCCTTCTCTCCTTGATCTAATTCTTCTTCCTTCTCTCCTTGTTTTCATTCTTCTTCCTTCTCTCCTTGATCTTATTCTTTTTCCTTCTCTCCTTGTTCTTATTCTTCTTCCTTCTCTCCTAGTTCTCATTCTTCTTCCTTCTCTCCTTGTTCTCATTTTTTCCCTTCTCTTCATGTTCTCATTCTTCTTCCTTCTCTAAAGGTTCTCAGTTATATCAATTCTTTCTCTTTGTTCTCATTTTTCTCTTTGTTCTCATTTTTTTCTTTGTTCTCATTTTTCTCTTTGTTCTCATTTTTCTCTTTGTTTTCATTCTTCTCCCTTCTCTTCTTTTATATTATTCCCCCCCCCCCACTCCCGCAATGTTATTAAAAAACACGTGGCTAGGCTTTAATATTTATGCTTCCTATTCTAATATTTGTCTGTTTGTAAATATTTAAGTGTTGTTAATATTTAACAATTGCGGAAGCTTTTACAAAGAGCCCAAATATTTAAAAAGTTTTAAAAGTAACAAAAAATCCATCTTTTGTATCAAAAATATAGTTGGAAATATGAAAATCCATCTTTTGTATCAAAAATATAGTTGGAAATATAAAAATTTAACAAAAAACGTACTTTTTGCAGAAAATCGTCTGATGTAAGTTCCTTGAATTTTGTAGCGTTGGTACATGCAACAACGTCAAAAATCATGAAAAATTCAAAACAATGAAATTTTTCTAAAAATAACTTCATTTTCTGAAACATAGCGCTGACAGGGAGAAAATAAAGTTCACCAGGATTCAGGAGGTTCGAGGTTGCATTCATTCTAAATATACCTCGTGGCCTGTATACGTCAGCTCGGTCTATATTTAGAGAAAACCATTCATTCCCCCCCNTCTTACCTCCCTCCCCCCCTTGCACCCTTCCTTTGGGATACTAAATTGTTTTTTATCGCCCATTCGAACAAAACAGTAATTTTCTAAATGAAATAATTTATTCATAGATATGTATAAATATACATATAAAATAATGAATAAATATCGTGCAGGGTAAAAAATATTATTAAAATACGAAACAAAAGTAAAAATAGAAAAAGTTTTATATTTCCCATTCAATTTATGAAAAAAATCAAAAAAAAAGTAGACTTTTTATTACAGATTACTGTACTGAAATGTACTTTTATGCACTGTACTGTACTTTAATGTACTGTACTGTACTGTACTGCACTGTACTTTACTGTACTTAACTTTACTGTACTTTACTGACTGTACTCTACTGTACTGTACTGTACTCTATTGTACTGTACTGTACTGTACTGTACTGTACTGTACTGTACTGTACTGTACTATACTTTACTTTACTGTACTGTACTGTACTAAACTGTACTGTACTGTACTGTACTGTACTGTACTGTACTGTACTGTACTGTACTTTACTGTACTGTACTGTACTGTACTGTACTGTACTGTACTGTACTGTACTGTACTGTACTGTACTGTACTGTACTGTACTGTATTTTACTTTACTATATTTTACTGTACTGTACTGTACTGTAGTGCACTCTAGTGCACTGCACTGTACTTTACTTTACTGTACGGTGCGGTACTGCACTGAACTGTACTTTTTTAGTGTGGCTGAAATAAAAAAGACAACGAATCCGTACGTAAATAAGCGAATGAGTCGAGTTTACTTAAGGTTTAGTTTAGTTGGTTCAGGAGCTAGATTGGGTTGAGATGTATTTACACTTGGAGGAAGGACAACAAACCTTATCTCAGGATAATATTTATGCATTAGAAACCTGAGCTAACAGAAATAGAAAAAAGAAGCTTTTTGCACAAATTCGTGATCAAGGAGGGTATAGTAAAGAAATTTTAAAGAAAACCCTTCATTTACAGACAAAAAAAAAAATAATTTTCACCCTAGCCTTACGTTTAGACTGGTTCATGACTTGGATTGTAAAGAGATTTGGGATTTGTTTGAAAGTGTTCTAGGTTTAGGTTTAACAGTGCCATGGTTTTCCTCATTTGAAGTAGGATTGTGCTCCAAGTTTTGGTTGCATAATTGATATAAATGGAGTAAAGCGGGAGAGTTCAGGAATAAATACTTTTCAGGCTTTAGATATTATAATTTTAAAATTAGATATTTATTCGAAATAGCAGTTTATGTTTGCATACATTACTATTTTGCAATTTGCTACGATGTACAATTCTAAGCATGTTTTTCTTTATTATTTTACGTATTTTGACATGGAATATAGATATTAAATGTATAGAGTAAGTAAGATTCAGACTGATGCTTAGAATGAAAAGAGTAGGGTTGGATAGCACAGGACTCAGGATGGAATAAGCAGGACTCAGAATGGAATGAGTTTAAGGTTCCGGTTCTGACCGGAGATAAGCAGGGTTCAGGTCAGAGAATTAACAGGGTTCAGGCCGGAGAATAAACAGGAATTAGGTCGGAGTTAAGATGGGTTCAGGTTGAAAATGAGCAGGGTTTAGGTCGGAAATGAGCAGGGTTCATGTCGGAGATAAATGGGGTTCAGGTTGGAGATGAGCTAGGTATAGGTCGGAGAATGAGCAAGGTTTAGGGTTTAGGTTGGAGAATTAACAAGTTTATGGTTCAGGATGGAGAATGAACAAGGTTCAGGTTACAGATTGGGCAGGGTTCAGGTCAAAGAATGTGTAGGGTTTAGTGTTCAGAATGGAGAACGAGCAGGGTTTGGTGGTCTGGACGGAGAATAAGCAGGGTTGAGGTAGGGGAATTAACAAGGTTCAGGTTGGAGAATGAGCAGGGTTTAGTGTTTAGGATGGAGAAAGAGCAAGGTTTAGTGCTCCGGTCGGAGAATAAGCAGGGTTGAGGTAGGGGGATTAACAGGGTTCAGGTTGGAGAATGAGCAGGGTTTAGTGTTCAGGATGGAGAAAGAGCAAGGTTTAGTGCTCCGGTCGGAGAATAAGCAGGGTTGAGGTAGGGGGATTAACAGGGTTCAGGTTAGAGAATGAGCAGGGTTTAGAGCTCCGGTCGGAGAATGAGCAGGGTTGAGGTAAGGGAATTAACAGGGTTCAGGTTGGAGAATGAGCAGGGTTTAGAGCTCCGGTCGGAGAATGAGCAGAGTTTAGTGTTCAGGATGGAGAATGAGCAGGGTTTAGAGCTCCGGTCGGAGAATGAGCAGGGTCTGCAGATTGGAACCTGTTGATCAGGATTAAGGTTGGATGAAACATGAATGATGTTGACGTCAGGCCTTAGTTTCGTCCTCCTACAGTTTCTCTCCAGCTCTCTACTTGGATACAGATCCCTGGTATTTATCCTCTTTATATTCCAACCTCGAGACTATTCTATCCTATCCGTCCTCTCTTCTCCGTCTGTTCAGTTTCAGATACAGAAAACACATAATCATGTTCTTTAAGTACGACTGGTTAATAACCTCTATTAATGTTTGTATACAAATAAGCTTAATTTTATTCCCAGAATGAAAGATTATACTCTAAACTTATTCATTAATAATCTGGGATAATCATAGATTATGATACTATAATAACAGATATTATCTAGAATTAGATAAATACGATAATAACAGATATTATCTAGAATTAGATACATTTTATAAATAATGCCATAATTAAGAGTTTGTTTTCATCCTGCATTTCAGAGAAAAAACTTTTAACAAAAAACAATTTTTTTATTAATAAACAGATGCTGATTCTTGTAAGCCCAAACGGAAAGGTTAAGTTAACAATGGTTAAACGGAATCACGATTTTCTGGTATTAGTCGATCACGTCTTACATTTCCATTTCTAAACCATACCCGGATACATACCATACCCGGATCATGGGTTTTCTCCAGGTATGATTTATAAACCCTGAGTAACGAGGCAAGTTCTCCGAACCTCTAGAAGCTAAGTTAGCTCAGACGGGTTACATGGTTTCACTCTTTCCTCTTCCCGGTTTGTAGCTTGAGAGTGGGAGCTGGAGGAGG